GTACCATTTTACATTCCCACCAGTAATACATAAGACTTCTGATTTCTCCCCAATCTCACTAACACTTGCTATTTTGGTTTTTGATTGTGGCCATCCAAATAGGGGTGAAGTGGTGCTCATGGATTTTTAAATCTATGATCATAAGAGATATTGAGTTTTCTTTTTTATAATTAAATTTAAGAGTTTTCTTTTTTATAATTAAATTTAAGCATTTTGGATCAATCAGTAAAGAAAAACAATGAGATGTCAAGAATGACTCTGAAGTTCCTTGTGAAATACTGGGTATCTAGAGAAACAAAGTGTCCTGGAGAAACAGCATGTTTCTCTTTTGGACAGGGGAGAAAGGACTGATGTAAAAAATACTGATTTACTATTGAGAAATTAGAGCTCCTAAGGACTGGGGGCCATTCTGGTTGAGATGTATAGTTGGCAATTGAGAAAAGGTGACGAAAGCTTGAGGAATCAGTGAGAACCAGAAATACAGATAATGGTAATATCTACCATTTACTGAGAATCCATTATGTGTTTGGCCAGCCTAAGTGTGGTAGCTGAAGTCATAGAAATGTGTGGCTCTTCCCAGGGAGAGAGTGAAAATTAAGAAGGGAGCCAAGAACAGAATCTTGAAGAACCAAAATGTAAGGACTTGGCAGCAAAGACACAGCCACAGCTAACAGAGACTGACATGCAGTCATTAAAAATATAGGATGAGAGGAGACACTGTCACAGAAACCAAAGTAGCATGTGGCACCAAAGAAGGGACTAATTCTCCAGTATTTTAGAGATTCCAATTTTATTCTTCTATCCTCAGCCAGTGAACAATCACTGTAATTATTAGTTATCCATCCTTTGAAATCAGAGAATAACTAGGTTCACAGAGAATACCTAAAAAATAAAAATTATGGTGACAAAGTAAAAGCATAAAGCATCCTTTTGGCTGATATAAATATCTCAAACCTGATGTCCTAAGTTTAGCCAGTTTCTACTTTAGCTATGAAAACTACACACTAAGATTTTTAAAAAATAATCTCTAAATGTGTTATTAGGAATTTAACTCAAAACCATACCAGGACAAAACAAAACCCTTGGTAACAAGCAATTAGGCATTTTAAAATATTTATTTAAAAAAAACCAGGATAAACACCTTATTTACTCACATATATTCCTGTTTGTTACCAGATATTTTCAGGGAACAGACATCTTAAGCATCTTCCTCTGCATTTATCAAACCTCCAAGTGGCTCCTGCTGCTGCTGACAATCACAGCAGCCTGCTGGGGGTAAAGTATGGGGAGAGAAAAATAATCATGGATTCCTCTAAATTCAGAAATGACAAAACACTTGAGTGGGTAAAATGTGCACGTGTCTAGTATCATGAAGGCCAAATCGTGATATAACTTCCATCCATGCCTTAAAATGAAAAATAATGCAAACACATCATATATTTACTATTAGTCAATGAATCAAAGTGTTATTGACCCGGTGTAATTATCCTGAAGGTAGGGAGAAACAAAACATGCCTTCATCATGTGTGTATAAATGTTTTTCTTCCCCTACTTCTAAGAGACTTTCAATTGAATAAATACCTTCCTAGAGGCTCCTATTTGATGCTTATTAGGGATATAGGGATATATTACTTGGTCCTAGCTTTCAGGCAATTCATCCTGTATGGAAGAAGCTGGCATGTACACCTATGAAAGAGGGAAAGCGGGGGGAGCAAGGAGGCACTGAAGATACTGAAAGCTTCAAAGAGCAAGTAGTAGGTGAACATTTGAGATACTAAAGTAGGATTTAACAAATGAAAAGAAAGATGAATGAGTGGTTGTGGTAGGAGGAAAGTTAGGTGGAGGAAACACGGTAGACACCAAATGAGAAAAGCAGCCAAGTACAGAGCATGTCCAGGGAAATAAGTGGAGCAATGCGATAGGAGAGAGTCTGCAGTGAAGGTAAAGGCTGGAAAGATAAGCTGAAGTCAGATAGAGAGGGCCCTGAATAGAGCCTGGATGATTTTAATTTTTATTACGTGTGCATGCGGGACCAACTGGAGGTAAGGATGTGGGATGACATGCTCAGAGCTCCCCACTGGAAAATGACCATTTCCCTATTGAGGTTGGACTTCAGAGTGAGAAAGTCCAGCCACATAAGAAGCTTATATTATATACAGGGTAGCCATAAAGTTTGTGTGCAATTTAAAATTAAATGTGCCACCTGTATACTTTAACATCTGAACAAATTTTTCCCAGTCATGAAACATGAGAAAATAAACCCAGAAAATGCAAATCCCAATGAAATTTTTAAGATTCTAGAGTTCAATGACTTCATCTTATAAAGAAATGTAAACTCAGAGAAGGGACTTGGTTCTACTTTACATTACTGTCAGAAGTAGAAACCAGAATAGAATAAAGATCATTAGAGTCCAGGATCAGTTTTTTTTCCACACTACCTGGCATTCAATCATAATATGTATCTGCTTGGTAATCATTTTTAGAGTCCTGGTTTAATTAGGGAGAAGAGAATTGTTTATTTCCATCAAGTATTAGAATTAAGCATTTTTCCTACAGAGGTCCTGAAGGAATCTGTTTTCATTAACAGAGAAAAACACAAATAACTGTCAGTTTTGAATAAATGTGCTTAAATGTTTGAAGACTGAACCGAAAAGTTCTTTTACATTTAAATCTCCTGGAATTCCTTTTTTTATTAGCAAAGTGAAAGAGAAGTTTCAGACTCCTATGATAGGTACATATTCTTAAAATAATGAGGATAAAATTAGTTGATTCATGTAGCTGTAATCAGTTTTTCTCAAGTAACTAACAGCAAAGAAATGCTAATAAGAGCAGAGATTCATATACAATTGGAACTCAACGTCTGACCCACTAGTGGATTGTAATCAAATAGGATTTTGAACACTTGAAAAAAGATCCATTATGTCTCACTGAAAGCAAACTACAGAAATGCCATCCTTTTAATTAGAGATATATATATGTATATATATATATATATACCAATTCACTTATACATATAAAGAACAGAAAACTATATACAATTAAAAATAAGTATAATGTATTTTTTTAGTAAGAAAAAAATCATTTGAGATCAGAAAAATAGGAAAGCAAAGAAGCTGAAGCTTAGTTTTAGAGTATTATCAATACTAAACTGAAAGGAAATAGGGAAATACTACACAGAGTAGTACTATAATAAGAAAGTGAGATTGGAATTGTTAAATCTATGAGTATGGACACAAAAGTACAGAAATTATTATTTCTTTTTATTTAGATTATTTTAGAGAAGAACAAGATGAGTCCAAGTTGGCAAAAATAAAGCAAAGTACCAACATTACTAAAGAATATAATTTCATCTAGAAAATTAGGACTGTGAATAGATTGAGGTTGGATATCCCAGATGTGGTCCAACTGTGTAGGGTCTTAGAGTTCAAGCTAAAGCATGGTGACTCCACTCTAAAATTTATACTGGAAGTAATTCATCATTTAAAATATATGAGACCTAAAATTACCAGAACTCAAGAGCCCTGGACTGGGTTGTTGTGAGGATGATATACGACATTTACTTGGTATCTAATTAGTGCATTATAAATGTCGGTTATAATCGTATTAATTAGGTGATCTGGATTTTTATCCTGGTTCTGCTACTAAGTGACTTTGGAATATGAACAACTTTATTACTCTGTACCTCAGTTTCTAAAATGCAAAATCAGATATTTAAACCAGATAATCCCAAGAAATCATTTCAGGTCAAAAACTTCAGTTATTCATGTTGATTCAGATAACCAAGGATTAGCGTCAGTACTCGAGCAATGTTTTTACCCCAAGCCCCCCAAAGAATAAAGCTAAATCAATCTTTTCAAGGTCCAGTTTGCATGTAATTATTTTGATCCAGTCTTTACTTAATTTTAAAAATTACAAAACATAAAAAACTATAATTTCCCCAGAGTGAGTCAGTGCAGAACACTTGGGAATTTAAGCACATAGTAATATATTAAATATATTTAACAACTCAATTACAAATTGACAAATGCAATGGAAACGTAGACTACCTAAAGATAGGAAGAGATTAAACTTCACAGTCTGCAAATAGAAAAAGAATAAGCCACTGCATAGTAATACATCACATTAAAATATATTTTGAAGTTTATGTCCCCCTCTTAAAATGGCAGTGATTATACATTGGTGCAACCACAAGCATTTGTAAACGTTTTTCTATTCAAAATCTTTCTTGTCCATCATAACAAATAGTTTGGTTAGCTCTTTCTTGAGTTTGAGTTTCTTGCATTTTCCTACTTTTAACAGTTACAGCTTTTACCCATAACCACAGCCATCTATCCAGAAACGCCCACTGTCTGAGGTTGGGGGAGCAAGTGCTATGCAGGTGAATCTGAAGAAATCTCTCACCTTTCTAAAATAAGAACAAGGATATGATTCAAAGATTGGAGATATAACTGTATCTCCTTGACAGCTCATACTTATCACTTTGTAGGCAAGAAGGTTTTGCAACTGAGTAAGATTCAGGCTACTGACAGTTTTAGTGTGATTTCTGAGTCTCCCTGTCTCTTTCGAGCCCTTAGTCTTAGGGCAAGGGGATGAAAACGTATGGCAGAGTGGGCTGACTTCCTATCAGCCTTGCTTTCAAAATACTACTAAAAGGCTGATGGTAACAAAAGGTGGTTTATGGAAGGACATATACAACTAGATTTTAATCAAATAACCTGCAATTCTTATATATTAAGATTCTTAAGAGCTGGTCACATATCTGAGTTGTAACAGGATATGTAACAAGGCAAATTCTTTTTTCTCTTTTCATCAACATTCAGAGTCTGTGGCTGTGAGGGAACATTATTAGCGTATGCAGTGGATACCAACCAGTCAACACAGATCTAAGGAGAGGGCACTGACAGAGAGCAGCTTCTTTCCTTGAAATCCCAACACCATCGCAAATTGATTTTTTTTTTTTTTTACCCTCCTGGGAAGAAAAGGTGCGTCAACTTTCTTCCACACTAGGGAAACTCAAAATGTATATTCGTGAATTTCCACTCGCCTCCCCTTAATTTACAATATGTACACTTTCAACAGCAGCAGCAAAATGAACTGTCAATTATAATGCTGACGTGAACAGCTTGAATGTATTCCTTAAGCACTCTGGATACAGTCTTCCATATTCCTATGGTCTACTTCAGATCTGAGATGCTGGCTCCCGCCTGGCATGCCTCCTCTAAGCAGGCTCTTCAGCACAGAATAGCCTCTCAAAGGCCAAACCTTCTCGCCCAAGATGAAAGTGGTCAGGGTTCAATTCTTCTTTAGAAAATGCTGTGCTGGGTCTCATTAGGCGGACTTGTGAGATCTGACCAGATCACTTTTGGACAAAAAGAGGAGCCAAAGAGGAACTCAAGTTTCCAGAGAAAAATAAAGTGCTGCCCCCTATAAATCACAGTTTCCGTGTGGATTCAGTTGTCTTCCTAAAGAGGTAGAAATAATAGGGGGTGTGTGTTGCAGATGCCCATATTTCAACAATATTGATCACTGTATCTTTAAGGGATTAAAATGGACTGACTCCACTCATCTCTCTGATTTTTTCATAAGTAAGCCAGAACACCAGTGACCAAGGGGTCTGAAAGATTAACCAAAGAAGTTAGTGCATATTTCAAAGCAATTACGAATATTCTGCACATATGCATACAATCTGTGAATGACAAAGTCATTTTGAACCAACTTCAGCTGAAAACAAGTGTTTTTGTATTTCACGTCTGTAAAGCACTTACTTTATAATATATAAGGCATTTTCATGTTTCACTTATCACAGGTTTCTCTCAACAACAATTTACAATGGAAAGGAAAGGTATTAATAATATCCCTATTTTTTTTAGATGAGGACACTGAGGCTTAACAATCACGTGCTGGTCAGTATGCTGTAGAGCTAGACCACAGGCTTCAGGTTTCCATTTCCAGGGTTCTTTTATGAACCATTAATGGTTAAAGGACCAGAACTTGGGATGCCTGGTATTCCAGGCTGGACTCTTCCACATGTAGTTTGTTAATAAGACACTTAAGAACTCGAAAATGAGGAAGGCAGATTATTCCTTGAGAGTTAGGTCATTAAACTACCACCCGATGTCTCAACTTGCATATACAAATTCACATTAAATAGGAAAAGAAGCTTCTAGCTCAGAAGAGCTTAACTTAAATGAAGATGTAGCTATAAACTAAAGGAATTATAAAAAGATAAGGGTTAAGAGAAGATATATAAATACTAAACATATAAACACTAACAGAGAGATATCACAGGGGAGAACACTGAAACAGGAAAGGATGCCTGGCATCTAATAACTCCCGTCTAGTTCAGTTCTGATTACTGATCAGAGAAGAATGCTATCATACGAGAGGAGAGGAAGAACTTGAAGTGATTAGAATGTACAATGTATTTGGCTGGTTTGCAAAGCAGTATTTATGTCATACGTGCTTAGAAATATTGAGCATATTGTATTAATAGACTGAGAATTTATTAAATAGTAGATTTAGGTAAGTATGTCTTGGTTAGTTAAATGAAAATATACTTGAAATAAGGAATATAAATCTTTGAAGATACCATATTCTGTGACAACAAAAATGAAGTGAACCGAGAAATAGCTACAGTTAAATCAAGGAAGAAGAGGTCTCAGTTAAGAATGGTGTGTGCACTACGGTGCATCTTACAGGGGCACGTGTGAAATTTACTAAGTGTAGAATATAAGAAAATGCCGTGAAGGCTATGTTAACCAGTTTGATGAAAACATTTCAAGTTGTATATAAAACCAGCACATTGTACCCCATGATTGCATTAATGTACACAGCTATGATTTAATTTAAAAAAAAATGGTGTGTGCAATCATTCCTAGTTGCTGTGGTAACCCGTCTTCTTCCTCTTTCTTATAGTGAGAAAACCATAGCAAATGAAATAAAAATCAGAGACTGAGTAAAGCAAGGTCCCATTACCTCTACCTAGTAGAAGGGATTGGGATGGAGTTTTGTTTTGAATAGAGAGGGAGATCACAAAGCCAAAGACTGTGGGTGGTATGTAAAGGGAATATGCTGATCCTCTCTCCAGGAGTGCCTGTGGGCAGGGACAGTACTTGCTGGTTTCTCACTGCTGTAACTGTGACCACTATAAATGATCCAAGTGTATATGAACCCATGATGATGATGATTCCTCCAGTCTATCATTTGCCAGCTGGAAAGGAGCAGAAGTAGTGTCCTTTTCCATGTTTATTATTGTGGAGCTGAACATGTAGGACCTCTCTTGGGTTGATGTTCTTAAATATTAGCTTTACAAATAAGCTCCTCCTGTTGTGATCCTGTGTTTAGCAAGCAACTTTTTGATTATTATTTGGGTCCTCAAATAACTTGAGTTTAGGAGGAAACATGTTATCAGAGGACTTGAGTATCTGGATCATTAGCCAAATGTTTTGTGCGATGTGAATGAGCCAGATACTCTGTCCTGATTGTTGGTTTCAATGGAATGACCTGAGGTGAATTCTGTATTTTTCAAGGGACATTTACTAGGAGGTGCTCATGAGTCAGGTTTCTGGAACTCAAGGTGACCTACCTACTATGGCAAATCAATAAGGCAATGACACATTTGATGGGCAGCCAGTCTTTCTCTGGTAATACCCCTCTTAACTACAAACTGTCTCTTTTAAAACTTCTATAACTAACCACAGGATCTTGAGAAACTCAATGTATTGTATTAGTAAGGAGCATGAGGTTTTGGGCGGAACAGACTTGCAGTCAATTCTGCCATATACTAGCTACATGAACTTGAGCAAGGTCCTTACACTTCGAATGACGGTTTCCTCATCTGAAAAATGGGATAACCCTACAAGTTTCACTAGGTTCTTACAAGATTGTAAAAGTAATGTATACATGAACTCTTTTTTTTTTTTTTTTTTTTGGTCATTTATACTTCCTGAGTCTCATGTATAAAGAGAATGGGACAGATTGAGTGGTCTCACCCTTTGTGCTTGGATATCATTCCTGCCCCTCCACCCCCAGAACCTGATTTTGTATTTCAGCACTAGTCTCACCCATTCTCCTGGCCTCCCACACTAGAAACATTAAAGTATCATTTTTTTTGTTCCTCGCCTTCCACATGTAGTCAGTTACTAAGTCCTGTGGAGTTAACCATAAATCTCCCTAAAATCTATCTTCTCTCCATTTCTACAGCCATCTAAAGGTCTCCTTATTTTACCTTAGACCACTGCTAAAACTTACTTTATTGTATCCTCGCTTTCAATGTATCTTCTATACTGCTTCCAAAGTACTCTCACTGCCAAACAGATCTCAGCACATGGCTCTTGTGCTTACACAGGTGGTTGCTGACGACTATAGGGTTACACCTAAACTACTAATCTGGGTCCACAAGGTTCTTCCCAACACGGTCCTTACATATTTCTCTGGCCTTATCCTACTACCTCCCCTCCAAGGACCTATTCCCCAGCCCCACTAAATTTTCTGTAGTTCTTCAAATATAACCGGCCTGCACATAACATGATGCCTTTGTTCATGTTGCTCCCTAACATTTCTCTTAAAAGATGCCTACCAGTGCTTCAAAGCCTGGATCAAATACCAGTCCCTGAGGCCTTTTGTGACTGCCCAAACACAGCAACAGCAATTTTTACTCTACTGTTTATGTGCCCACAGAGTGTCATTCACACCACTGGCAGAGAACTAATACATCCTCCTTAGTAAAGCTGCTTCCTCTGGCACCAGGCTGCCTGCGTTTGGTGCCCCGAATTACTAGTTAACAACCATCTTCTCTTGATCAAGTTAGTTAGACTCTTTATGCTTCTGTTTCCGTCCCTATAAAAGAGGGGTAGGATAGTTACCTACGGCACAGATTACTGGGAGAATTCAGCGAGTTAAGTCATAAAGATGATGAGCTGTTTTGGCTACATACCAAGCAATTTAGTAGTATTTATGTATTCTTTCTGTGATTTTAACTACCTGCATGTTTAACTTCCACATCGCACTGTAAGTTCCTCTAGTGTGAAGACTGTGTCTTACTCTTTAGTTTTACCAGCACCTATAATGCTGCCTGATTCATGCAGGCCAAATCAAAATCTACCTTTCCAGTAAGAAGTACCCACAGTTTTGACATAATTTTAAGGTATAATCAAGACCATCATTTTTTTTTACTGTGGTACACACCTTTGTATCAGATATTGCTGGGGGCTTTGGCTATTAATTTCACTTTAACAGACAGCTATCATTCCTTAGTGATATCATTTATTACCAAAGCTTCAATTACCATCTATGCTCTGACAGTGCTCTAAATCTCCAACCCTGTATTCTCTTAAGATCTAGATCAATATACTAAGTTATCTAGACATCTCTATCAGATGTCCTAGGGGTATAAAAAAATTCACATATCTAAAACTAACCTTATTTTATTCCCAAAGCTTCTTCCCTGACAATGATCCCTATTTAGGAAATGATATTATCATCAGTTTTATGGGCAGGAGCCTGGGAATGAAGCCAGCCTTTTCCTTATTGTCTCCATCCATTCCCCCCTCCCTATCACGTTAGTTGTGTTTCCATTTCCTTTCTACCACCTTAATTTTTAAAACTTATCATCTGTTCCCACATCGTGCTTTTGTTCAAGCCACCAATATCTCCCATTTACCAGTATTCTTGGCCTTTCCCTAATCCATGTGGCAGCCAGAATGATTTTTCTAGAAAAGCAGATTATGTGAAGCTGGTACCATCACTCTTATGGTCCAGATGTCCTTCCCACACGGATGGCTGCCTCTGTCTGGCCTCATCCTCTGCCTCTCCCTGCCAGGTGTCTGTGCCTTGCCTTGCTGGCCTTCCTTTGGTTCTCTGAATTCATCATGCTCTCTGTCCACTCCAACTTTCCCTCTAAAGAGAATCTTTCTTTCTTTACCTGGCTAAATCCTACTCATTCTTCAAATCTCAGTTTGAAATCCATTCTCCAGTACAGTTTTCATATCTGCCAGCCTAGGCTGTAGTTATCTGCTATACGTTTGTATAGTACCATGCACTCCTCCCAATAACACTCATCACTTACAGTTTCTAATTCAAAGATAAACCCTTAGCACAGGCTTTGCATGGAATAGGTACTCAATTAAAATATATTAATATATAATATTACGTTATACAGTTATATTATGCTAATTTTGTTTTCTAAGATTGTTAAACTCATAACTCATTGATTCTTTCAAATATTTTCTAACTTAAAAAAGATACGAGTCTTTCTATTATATTTGGTATCTTATTTAAGTAAGTCTATCTAACTCTACATCTTAGTTGACTTCAGTAAAAACATCTCCAAATAAAAATGACATAATAGTTTCTTACTAAACAGAGTTTCATGGTAATAGATACTAATGAGTAATATAACATTTGCCATCGAAGTGACAAATTTTGTTTGAAACAGCACATTTTTCTTAAGAAGGTCTTTACTGTAAAGTTTGTAAACCTGTCCCAAACTACTATATTAAAATATAACTAAATAGATTGCTAAAGGTTGTTCATTACAGAAAATCTATCCACCTATTCATTAATGGATGTAACTCATTTATTTTACCTTAATCTACCAAGAAAGGCAATATAACCCTAAGAAGAGGTGAAAGAAAACATAAAATTTTTTTTTTAAAAAAGAAAGGAACTTGATTTGGGGGCAGAGCCATGATGCAAATCAGAAGAGAAAAGGGAAAATACTTACTGATTAAAAGTAATTTAAGTACAAAGAAAAGAAAAACGGGGAAGTTAAAAAAAACCAAAAAAACAACCTAACTTTACCATTCTCAGCCAAGATGGTAAAAAGCCTTTATATAGACTCATGAATCCTTCCCCTTGAACAGCCTGAATCAAGCAGTCTGTTGATGATTTATACAAAAGTCCCCTGCAAAGAAAACAAGACAGTTTTGTTAAATTTCTTCTGTATAAAAAGATGTATAAATACAACAATACAGTCTAAGGAAACACTTATTGTATGTTAGATATCTTCTGAGAGTTTAGACAAATCATTTGTGGTTCTATAGATATAGTTAAATTCTTTCGAACTTAAAGTTATTTCTAAGGTTGACTATTCTGATTCATTCCCCCCGCCTTTGTCTTAGACTTTGAATTTTCTCCACCTGATTTCTTCCAGAAAAAACATACTAGTTTATATCAAATAAAATTCTCCATGTTACCTGTAAGTCATAAGCTTCTGAAGAAAGTGCTCTGTGAATTCTCAGCAGAGTATGCTTTCAAAAACTCTTTGAAAACAATAAAGTCAACAATGAATACCTTGTGTCTAACTAATATGACTGTTAATTAGCTTATTTCCCCAAAGCCATAGCACTTTTTTATTAGACAAAGAGTAGATAATTGCATAAAAACAGTTTTCTCACTGAACACAAAAACACACAAATATCAAGAATAGAGCCAGGGAAGGATCTTTAAAGAACAATATTATTATAGTCATTCAAGCCCAGGAATACTAAAGACTTTCTACCTACCTTCCCAGTTTATCTCGCGGTTGATTCATTATTCGGCTTTTGATGACATCAGCTGGTGTTCCCAGAATAGAAGCTACTAGTCCAGAACATAAACTACACATACAAAGAAATGAAGTGGAAAGATAGTATGTACCAGCTTTTATTTTAAGAAAGGGAATCTGACATTTAGAAAGAATATGAAATATATTATGTTTATAATAATGTGCTTTTACCTTAAAATAAATGCTAAATCAAACCCTTAAAGAGGTAAAATAAATAAATAAAACCAAAAAGAACATCAGCCTAAAATTATGCACTGAATACCTACTGGGGCCAGGCATTCTTTTAGGTAGTGAACAAGAGAGGTAGGACCTTGCCTTCTAATTGGAGAGAGGCAGAAGAGAAATAAATAATTTCAGATGCTAATAAGGGCTATGGAAAAAGAATGAGCAAATGTGATAGAGAGTAGCTGGATGTTAGGCAGGCAGGGAAGGAATCTTGGGGTAACAGCAGAATTGAGTGGCAAAAAGGATATGGCTATGAGATGACCTGGGAGAAGGGTATTAGAAACAGATGGAACAGCACATGCAAAAGCCCTGAGTCAGGAATATTCTTAGTGCATTTAAATTCACGTGTGTGTGTGCATCCCAATATCATTGATTTGACATTATTAATATAATTTTGAGATTGTCTAAAACAGCATGAGGGTTTCTAGAATTTAAAAACAAGATCAGATGATGATTTCATTCATCAGTGAATGAAATTACTAGAATGTCAAGGGCAGTAGACATTTATAAAATTGCTCCTACTAGTGAATAGTTTGAAACTGTGTTACAGTGATAGTAGGGTATTGCCCCTTCCTGGAATGCCCTTCCTCTGGTTTCTGTCTGTGAAGAGCCACATCTCCTCATAACTGATACCTAATTCTACCCCTTTTGTGGGTCCTTCTAATTGGTTACTTTTTCTCCCTCCTCTGAACCCTACAAATACTAGTCACTTTCTTTCAGCATTTATTGCCAAGTATTTTTATTTCTTTCTGCCTCTCTCTCTCTGACAGTCTCTCACTCTGCTGTCCAGGCTAGATATAGCTATAGTGTCAGCCTTGTTCACAGCAACCTCAAACTCCTGGGTTTAAGCAATCCTTCTGCCTTAGCCTCCCAACTAATGGGTACTACAGGCACCCACCATGACACAGGCTAATTTTTCCATTTTTAGTAGAGACAAGATCTCACTGTGGCTCAGGCTGGTCTCAAACTGCACAGTATTTTTATACTTGGGAAGTTCCCTGGGCAGGAGTTGAATTCACCTCCTTTGTGCTCACTGCCTTTAACATAAAAGGTGCTCAAGCATATCTGTTGAATTGAGTCAATCATCAGAACCTATTCCTGGGATGGCCACAGCAAGGTGCAAATACTTTTAGAGGTTTAATCTGAAATATCCTGCAACTTTGTCTGTCTCATCCCCATTTTAACTGTAACAAGCTTTGAGGAAATTACCCTTTATAAATGTACTAAAACCCTTCTCTAAGGGTGATACTTTAATCTGGTGATATCAGATTAAAAGATAATCTGTTAGAGTTTATGCAAAATATAAAAGAAAAGGTAATACAGAAAAAAAAAATAGAGAAAGTCAAACCAAAACAATCGCTTACCTTGACAAACCATGAGTCATGATATTGTCCTCAAGAGGTGTATTCAATACCAAGTAGTGTTTCACTGTATCATAAGTGGTTAAATCTGGCAATGGAAAAAGGTTTAACTGTTCGTTCAACAGTAAATATCTTTTATGTCAAGAATAAGCTAGGCTTAGGGCAGGATTGTGTACCAAGATGGAATATACTATTTTTATTCTCAAGCTGAGCTTCAGATGGAGGGAGAGAAACAGAGGAAGAAACAGATACTTAACGGTATCATTTGAACATCTGAATCTAGTTATGTCTAAAGTCAGCTCAACCCCTGGGGCTTTCACTATTTGAGCTGATACATTTCTTTTTTTTAGCCAAAGTTAGACTGAATTGAGATACTGTTAATTACAAACAAAAAGTCCTGACCATTATTCTATATTAATCCTTTTCTACTTTTTTTCTAATGACACTGAAGAGCTATTGGAGGATTTTAAATAGGGGAGGAACACCACAATGCTGGAGTTCTATAAGGACAGCCCTCACGTATAGTAAATGAATTGTAGTGCGTCAAGAAGGGATAAGTCCATTTGATCATTCACCAATACGTGGGTGCCTACTGTGAACCTGGCACTACTGCAGGAACTAGGACATAGTGAACAAAAGTCCCTGTTCTCTACTGGGAGACAAGACAACACAAAAAGCAAACTACATGGTGTTTCAGATGTACTTGCTCTTAAAGTTAATACTCTGAAGACAAATAAGCAAGGGAAGGGAGAGGGAGTCCCAGAGGGTAGGGAGGAGCAGTGTATATGAATTTTAAATAGATTGGTCAAGGGAGGCCTCTCAATAAGGTGACAGGTGGGCAGGGACCAAAAAGAAGCCTGAGAAAATAAACTCTGCAGATATCAAAGAGAAAGTGTCCTACGCAGAAGAACAGCATGTGTTCTAGCCCCAGGCAGATTCAGCCTGGGATACTAGAGGGACAGCCAGAAGACCGGTCTAGCAGGAGCAGAGAAGAAGAGTCCAGCTGATGGCAATCATCAAAAGCCAGGGAAGGGCTCTCAGCAGGTGAGTGACTGTCTTGGGCTACTATATAGTAAGAGCAAATAGTTCTGATCTGGCAGTTTTATTGAGAGTAGACAGATGACAAGGTTGGACAATTAAGTTTATCATTATGGTGACCTGTGAAGTACTCCCCTTGGCCATCTGGTGACTGCAGTGATATTTAGCAATGAGGTATTTAGCATTTTTTTTCTGGAATGAGTTGTGAAATTAATTGTCTACCCTCATATATATGAGACTATTTCAGTAATCCTGACAAGAGAGGCTGATGGCTTAGATAAGGGAGTTGTGGAAGTCTGGTAGAATTCTAGATAACTTCTGGAAGTAAACTCAGCAGGGTTAGCCAGCAGATTGAGTATGGAGTGAGAGTGGGACATTGAAGAGGACCACAAGGCCTTGAGTATAAACAATTCAAAAGACAGACCTGCCATTTAGATGGTAAAGGTGAAAACCTGCAGTTTTAAAAAATAAAACAATAGGCTATAGTGATACTGACAGTTTCAAAGGCACAGTTGCGCAAAATTGGTGGTACAGGGGAAGCAGAAACACAAAACTTGGACAAAGGAGTAGCTCTAGGGATGGAGAGAAGTGTATGAACTTGAGATATTAATATCTCTAGAAGATAGAACTAACCAGACTTGGTGATTGGTTAGATATAGAAGCAAGTTAGAAAAGGGTCAAAAATCAAGCCTATGTCTATGGCTTGTACAACTGAAAGGGTGGTGATATATTTGAGAATAGCAGAAGGAAGAGTTTGTTACAGGAGTCTGGTTTGGACATATTCAAAGTGATATGCTTGAGATATCCAAATGAAGATTCCAATAAATAGCTGGAAGAGAAATCCGGGCCGCAACAAATTGAGAAATGACAGTTAAGGATTTCTTGACAATCAAAATATCTACCACTATGCTGCAGTAGACTTAGTTGGACTAAAATAGCAAAATAGAAAATAGATTTAATTCCTTTGATATTTAAGTGATATATTCCTGGAACCCTCAAAAATGCCATATGTTGATTTATTAGAATCATTTAATTGGTCTCAGAAAGGATTCTTTCATTGATTAATTGACTCATCAAATGTTTATATAGAAAACATCAAATGTTTTCTATATATGAAGGACTAGGAAAATAAAGATGAATAAAACACAGTCCTTGCCTTCAAAGGACTTATAATCTAGTGGGAGATACAGACACATAGTAGCAAGAAATAGAAGCAATAAACAGGAGGGACTATATAGAAACACACAAAAGAGCTTCTAACACAAAAGGGTCTGCAGCAGGTTCAGGAGAAGGACACTGGTGAAGATGACACTTTGGCTGAGTATGAAAAGATCTACAGGAGAAAACTAAGTAGAAGAGGCAAGAGGACAAAAAGTGCAAAGTGAAGAACAGCTTGCTATGTGGAGGAGGTGAACCTTTTACCTTAGGACTTTCTGCTTTGCTCTTTGGAACAAAATCAAAGAATTTGTCAATACCCTGAGGGTACAGGCCAGATTTTATAGTCATTCTGTGTAATGCTGCCAAATTTCTGCCATATTCTGTGGGTAATGAGAAACTGATAAGAGAGCCTTGAGGGCACCATTAACATGGTCAGATCTGTGTGTCAGATAAATCACTCTGGATAAAGGGTACACATTTGAGGATGGGGAGGAAACTAGTTATAGGGCTGTGGCAGTGGTCTAGATGAGAGGTTTTGGTGGTTGGTATTGTAGAAATAGTTATTTTAAGGGTACTCAGTAGTAGGTGTTAAAGGGGGAAAAGATGTTTAAGAAGCACTTAGAAGACAGAAGAAATTGATAAGAAAGTAAGTGTGGGAAGTGATGGGTAGATATGAGTTAAGGGAACATTCAGATTTCTAGCCCAGAGTGCCAGACTGCATAACATAGATTATTTAGGAATAAGAGTCTGGATATAGTGACTATCAGATAGTTAGAAATGTAAGTTTTCCTTTTAAAGGCAGGTCTGGACTGCAGAGGAGAACTTAGAAGTAGTTTGGCCTTGTCTCCTTATTGCCATAATTTATCTGTCTTATGAAATTCATAAGACTTATGAATTCTCTGTCTTCTGAAATCCTTTTCATGTACAAACGCAGAATAAAGTGAAAATATTTTAGGGAGAAAATTTAATCGTGACTACGACATCTGTGCAGCCTATCACCAATCTACATTTTTTAAAATAGTAAAAGTTTTAATTTCTCTTACATAAATGCTTGTAATTACAAGTATTAAGGCAATTACGACTTCTCGGAATTCAATAAAGTTTCCATTACCTCCCATATTCACCAGTGCTGCTCTTTGTATATTGGGCACCCAGCCTGCCCAAAGCCCACGTATTCCTCCTTCAGCTAAGATTTTTGCAAATGCATGATGCACGCCTCGGAATCTGAGGAAAATAACAATAAAAATGACTCTATGTGTTCCTGAGTATAAAAGGCAGTCAATTGTGAAAGCTTCACCTATAGCTATTACAGGTTGGAATAAAGTAACATTGTTTATCTAGAATTGTTAGAAATTAAAGCCAGCCACCAAGTCTAATTTCCAGATAATCCTTTAGGAAAAAAAGGCCAACATTTGATTTAAACATATTTAATGAAACTTTTATAAATTATCACCCTATTATCTTCTCAGGTTATTAAACAAATTAAACTAAGTTGCTTGATATTTTATATCATCAGAGCCCCTATTAATTAGAGGAGAAAACATTGGTTATCAGACTTCTGGATTAATTTTATTAGTGATTCAGGGGACCTGCCAATTTTTTAATTTTACAAAATAGCAACTTTATTAAAACCACTGACTCTCACATAATCTCATAAAAGAAATATTTTTAGACTAAAAATTAGGAAAGGAAAATCCTATAATAACAGTTTTTAAAATTGAACAGTTTTAGCTTTATGAAAATTTGCTATAATAATTTTTCTCATTTTCTGTAGATAGATGAGGAAGAGTGTGCTAACTAGTGAAGCCAATATGGAGACCTTTAGCATAAAAGAAAAGTCTGGGCTGTTTATGGTCAGAAAAACCTGGACTCAAATGCTAACCTTGACTGCTTACTAGCTGTGTGGCTTTTTATTTCTGAATCTCACCAGAAACTGTGAGAAGAGGAGGGGAATGGAGAGCAATGGTCAGTGGTGAACACTCAAAGATGGCCCCAAACCCTCCTTTGGGTGTTCAGATCCCTTTACACCCAGCTTCAGGCGTCCTGACCTTTCCCTCTTTCCTGGAAGCATCTTATCTATCTGCAAATGAGCCAAGTGGTATTTCAAAGTTGTTGTACATAAAGTCTTTTCAAGAAAGGCAGACTTCAATAACATAAGGTAACATAATAAGAGGATTTTATATCACAAAAGCATAATAAAAAATTTCCCATACACTAGGGAAAAAGAGGGCCTCAAGATATATGAGAAATGGGATTCAATAAGGAAGTGGAAACCATGTTCAAGGTTAACTTTGCTACTTCCCTTCTTTCCTGGAGAAAGGAGAGAAAGCAAGGTTTTTGGCCCCAGTGAAGGCCTCCTGAGAAAGCCTCTTTTAAACAAGAAAACACTGAGACTGGAAATGTTAAGTAACTTCAACACCACCATACCACGATAGCAAAACTGGGATTCACAACAGGACAAATTTTAATGATCTACCTCTCTACACTAACGTGGAATAGGAAACTAGTCTAGCTGCCTTGCCTGGGAACAGCTGCAAAGACCTGCGTGCACAAACAGTTTCTCTGGCAGAGAACACGTACACTTCCTCATGCAAAGAAAAGATCAGCTTAGTTCTCCTCTTCATGAATATAACTTCCAAGTTAAAAGAGTCAGAATTAATACCTTTACTAACTATTGTATGAGAAACCTATTAAGCAAAGGTTCAATATATGCTGGTGGCAAAGGGAAAGGTGTCAGGTAATTGCAGAACTTACCTCAGTGGTTTTCCTTCAAGTTTCCTTTTTCCTTCCATTTGCATCTGAACCTTCACTAAATCAGTTGGGTTGGCTAAAAACTGGCCAATGACACCAGCCATCATTCCTCCAATGACTGATTTCCTGATTGTAAAAGGAAATGCTTGTGTTTTTTTCAAGTTGCCATTAATTTCATAAATTTTATAGTGAGTGAACCAATACTGAGTTGGTAAAGGCCCCAGGTAAGAGATTTAAGACTAGACAAAAATAAGTCACAGAATAAAGCAGAGGTTTAACTGCTTAGTGATGAAGAGGTAGTGGACCAGACGAGGTAAAATTTGGAGTTGTAGGGCTTACTTGGCCTGGAATTCAAAGGAAAGGGGAGTTGCTTCAAAGATATAAACATCTGAACTGATAATTTCACTGCAATTTAATTTTGACTGGAGGGGAATAAATACAGCATAGATACAATCGGCCTAAGAGACAAAGGGTGGTCAGTCAAATCTTAAAAACTGTTTTAGTCGTCCCCCGTGAAGGGTGCTTGAAAACACTTCTCTTTGAAGAAACTCTTTCCATCCTCAGACTTATTCTTCTGCCCACTCACAGCCGATGGTGAGCAAGACTACACTTTGACAAGCTTTGAATCCAGTCTTCTCCATTCCTGTGGCTTCTGCCTCAGGCAGACCTCTAATCACCATTAACCTAGATTAGTGTAATAATCTCTTCAGGGAAAAAGAAGTATTTCCTTTCCCTTTACTTAAGTAATTTGAAGAGAGACAAATGGGTGTAGAGAAAAGGGTCCTCCTGGCTCCTATGCCTAGTGCCCTTCCACTGAAACGATCATAATTACTAGTTTCTTCTATGTCTTCCCAGAAATGATAATAACGGATTCACTGAATGCTCATTATATGTCAGGCAACATTTTGAGCATTTAAAAAAAAAAATCACTCAATTCTTGTATTAACTCTATGACATTAGTATTGTCACTCCCTCTTTATAGTTAAGGAAACCAAGGCACCCAGCAGTTAAGTGACAGCACAAATCACATAACTAGTGAGTGTTACAGCCAAGATGTAAATCCAGATAGTCTATGCTCAGTATTCAGCACAAGTTATGACTG